CTCTTGAGGAGGCTCACTTGGGTAATGCACCTGTATTTGAACCATGGAGTTGAACCATAGAGTGGCCTTGGAGGACTCAGTGTAAAGAATTCTTCAAGGAAGACTGAGGGACTCTTTGAAGGGGTATAGTAATGGGTAGGGTGATTGATAGAAATTACTAATGGAGAGGAAATAAAAGCCTTTTGCCACAAAACCTGACTGTGGTGTATTTTGTATTTTATGAGAGAAAGTAAGAAGATAGATGGGGTATGATAGAATGATGGAGTACCAGCTACAGAGGTGAGATCACCTGGGTAGAAGGGCTACCACATCCTTACCTGTCCAAGGAGACAGTGATATTCATAGCTAGGAACATTGTCACCAGAGGGGAGAACTTTTGGACCTCAACCCACCCTGGCTCATCAGGCAACTCACTGAAGAATACAGAAACATCATTTAGGAGATAGACAAGGTAGAAGAGTGAGACTGATTTACAAGCATTGAAAAGGCACAGACACTCTCTAAGGAAGAGAGGACCTGCTCTTCAAAAGTAGAGTGCTTTTCTTTGCTGTTGTTTTGTGCTGTGGAATCAGAACCCAATCATAGCTGACTCTCTAGTGAGTTTTCTGAGACTGTAAATCACATGTGAGGAGATTGCCCATCTTTCTCCCATAGAGCAGTTGCCTGGAGATTCTATGGAGATTGAAACCACCTGCCTTTGGGTGGGCAGTACAACTCCTTACCATGAGCTCCTGTCCTTTTGTTAGGTGTTGGGTTTCCGGTCATTGGGTGGTCTCTGCAGCATGAAGTAATGTCTTGACATTATCTAATTATGTTAGAGTTCATGCACAATGCTTCAAAATCTGGGTCTTGCATAATTTTTACTGCCAATAATTCAGTCTGTTCCCACTCTGAGGTGGGGCAAAACAACATTTTTAATTATAATATTATTATTTTAGTCAGTCTTTCTTGTGCTTTATGTGTATGTGAAATAGCGACAGTCCCTTTTGCTGAACTTTTTCTCTTCTTTCCATTAGTTATCAGGAGTCCTATTAGAAGGTAGCAGGCTTGCTGTAGCCTTGATTTTTCTCCCTATGGCTTAGTGGTAAGGAGTTGTGCTGTCAGCCCAAGGGCATACAGTTCAAATCCACCAGTTGCTTTCATTGGAGAAAGATAGATAATCTTCTCCTCAGCTACTTACAGCCTCTGAAAACCCTCTGGAGGGTCAGTCATGAGTCAGTTTTGACTTGATGGCATACAACAACAACAGCAACAACAAAAAGTCTATGTAGTAGTATGGAAGAAGGGGAGAATTAACTGACTTTATATGTCAATCCCTAAGCTTATGTTAGTATTTTTCTGTTAAGCATACTAATATTAATTAATATTTATGCTGTTATAGTTTTTAAAAACAATCTGTGCCAGGCTTAGACGTGCACAATTTGTTACTCACTGGATCTTTAAGATAGTACCTTAAAATATATAATTAAAGACTCATTTTACAGATGGGAAAATGGAAGTATAGAAAAATAAATTATTTTTCCCAATTTACATTAATACTAAGTGGCTAAGAGAAAGGGTCTGGTAAAAAAAGAGTTCTGAAAATTCTTATCCAGTTGAAGCTTTCTAAGGGTAGAGTTTCAACAGATAAATCACCAGTGATGATGTGCATTTCATGTGATCATACTAACTGCTATCTATCACCTTATCTCTGAAAATGGCTCTTTAGTGAATACCAGAATGAATAGGAGGGTATATATAACGTACAAGGTCATCAGATAATTCTGTCTCATTGAATTTATACTGGCTCTGGGGATGTCTAGGGTGACTTGATGTCAGTTTTTTTCATTTTCTTTGTCCCATATTCTAAAACTGCAATACAATGGGTGACTCACCATCCATAGCTATTAACATTATGTGAACTTGAATCTCTCAGTTGTACTAGTCACATTTCCATGTGTTCAGTTATATTTCCCTCCCTCCCTCCCTCCCTCCCATCCAGCTATTTCCACTTAAGTGATCCTATGTTGAGTTTCGGAGGCTGCAGATGACAACGGGACCAGATTGCTAATCATTCTCCTGAGCGAGCCACTGGTGGATTAGAACCCCCAGAGATGCACAGCCTTTGGGCTGGCAGTGAAACTCACTAGGAACTATATGATGCTAGAGCTCCAGTTGTGACTAGGGGCTTCTCTTTGGCCTGTACAGATATAGAATATACCTATCAAGTCAGAAATTCTAACGGACAGTGCTGCCCTGAAAAGTCACTTGACTTAATATGAGTTGCTAAATGAGTCAACTAAATGCATATCTCCTACCTTCTTTTGCTTGCTCTGTTTCATATATAGTGTACTTGGGAATAGAAGAACTTCATTAAGAGTTTAATGTAGGAAGTGCACGTGGACATTAGCACAGAAATTTGGTGGGATCATAACCTTCTGTGTAACAGTTACCCATTGGTGTATAACAAATTAACTCAACACATAGAAGTTTCAAAAAAGAAAAAAAAATATTATCTCACATTATTTCAAGGTTCAGCAATTTGAGAGTAACTTAACTTGATAGCTCTGGCTCAGGGAATTGCAACCTATTGCAGGAGTCTGCCAGATTTAGCAAACAAAAATGCAGGATGCCCAACTCAATTTGCATTTCAGAGAAACAACAAAGTGGTTGGGAAAACTGTATCTCCTCCAGTGGTTGGGGCTTACTAAAAAAATATTCACTGTTTATTTAATCTTACAAACATAGGTTGTAGTCAAGTTGTCACCTGGAGCGTCATTTTTTTTTTCAGTTTTGTTTGTATAGTAGTTCATTCTTTAAAAAGATTTTTAAATTTTTTCAATTGCTTTTATTACAAAGTTTGTATACATTGTGTTTCACACAATGTATATAAATTATAACACTTCAGTAGTGCTCAAGAATCTTTTTACTAGATAGACCACTTACAAGTCTGGTAAGTTAGTGCTCTCTGTTACAAGAAGGCACTGGTTCTCTTTCCCCCTACATAAATCTATTGATATGTCGGTTTGGATATCCTTACAACCCAGTGGATGGTTTCTCAGAAGTGAGGGATTCAAGAAAACAAAGTTGGGGTTTTTTTTGCGTTTGTTTTTTTTTTTAAATCTTCCCTAGAAAGTCACGCGCTGCCATTTCTGCAATATTGTATTGTTTGCAGGTTTTCATTGCTGTGTGTTCTTGAGTTACTTCCCAATTCATAGAAAGCCTATAGGACAAAGTAGAGTTTTTCCATGAGCATTCCCAGGCTGAAAATTTCCATGGAAGCAGATTGCCAGGTCTCTCCCTGAGAGTGGTTGGTGTGTTGTTGACAGTCTTTTCGTTAACAAAAAAAGCACTTAGCTATTGTGCTATCAAGGATCTAAACTGGTTGCCCAAAGCAGTCCTGTTAGATGTGGGAAGGGACATTATTCAGGATGTGAATATCAGCTAGAATCATTGGGATTCATCATAGGAGCCAAAGGTTTTGTAGAAATAAAAGATGTTTGTCCAAAGACTTTAGGGATGAAGAGATTAGAATACAAGATACAGGAATTTTCAAGGACTTTATGAAAGTAGACATCAGTTTTGAAATGCTGCTGATCAGAGAGCATCAGAGTATCACTTGTAAGGGAGTGTCTGGCTCTGAGTTAGAAACCATTTTTTGAATGTGCATAATTTCATATATGCAACCTTTTGAGGAGGCATTGTAAAAAAAGAGTACAGTGTTGTGAAATAGCAGGTTAGCACACACATATGCTTGCCCACACACAGTGTCATGGAGGTGTGTGTATGTGTGCACACAGAAAGATTTGCTCTCAGATAAAAATGGAAAGGAAGTCATGAAAGTTAATAGAATGTCAGAAAAGGTCTATTGTAGAAAGGCACCTGACAGAGGCTTGGCACATAAATTACCACTCGAGAGAGAAAAGACAGGTAAAGTTAACTATAGGACTGTATTTTACAAGGAAAAGAGTGTAGGTAGTAATTCAAAACTGACAAAGATATTAGAGGAAAGGGCGATGTGTGACAACCAGCAGTGGCCCTCTTCCCCGTGGCAGGAGACTCGTTTCTGGCTCCGCCTCATTTCCCTTTATGTTGGAAGTTTTAAACTTCTGGAACGGTGTACTACAGTAGGTGGAGGCTAAACTTTCAAAGGCTGAGGGTTGTTGGATTTTGATTCTTCCCCCAGAAAGTCTGTATTGTGAACCTGAAATCCCATTGGGAAATAGGGGGGTTCTTTGTTATGCTAATGTGGCCAGCTTAGTATATGGTAAGTTTGAAAGCAAACAATTCTGAAGTACGAAAAGGAGAGCAGGCACAGAGGTAAGAGCATAGAAATAGGGCGAAGAATATTATCACATGGAGATTGCCAAGACACAAGAGAACGACAGCGGTGCAGAAGCTGAGATAAGTGCCCTTCCTCAGAGCCATGAGGGAATATCCTTTCCCTCGGAGCCGATGCTCGTCATGCCCGATGATCACGTTTACCTCGTCAATTGTGAGAAAGGAGATTTCGGTTCTTCTAAATCATCTACGTGTGGTATTTCTGTTACAGCAACACCCTCTAACTTAAGACTCATTTAAGGTCATCTGGTGATCACTGCAGTCACATGTTATCCTTGAAGTGCATTGTGGAGTTTATTTGTACTCCTGGAAGCTACCTAGGACTAGCTCTGCTAGCACAGCCTATAGGGAGAGGCATGCAAACCCCAAGACGGTGACTCTTGGTGGTTGGAACCCACCGGTGGCTCTATGGGGGAAAGATGGGCAATCTCTTCTCATGCGTGCTGCAACCTTGTAAAGCCAGCTGGGTAGTGGTCAGCTGTGAGTTGGTTCTGACTTCGTGAGAGTGTTCGAGAATGGGAGCCGCTGGGAAATACTGTAGAGTAAGAAATGCACCACCCTTTGATGACTCCCATATTAGGTATCAATTCTTTACTCAAGATGCTGAAAAATGTGGGAGTTGTTGGATGAAGACAGAGGCCAGTTTTAGAGAAAAGCCCAACAGTTTATTTCCTGATGGTTTATGGAGTCGTGCTTATCTCTTTACACCTTTTCAGGAGGGTCTGCAAGGCCGCTTCAGCTGCTCTCTGGACACTGATACAAGGGTCTCGGCGGAGTGCTTGGAGCCCTGAAACGAGGGTGGGTGGGTGGGTGGGGAAAGCAAAATTCTGTGAATAATAAAATTCAGAGTCCAGGAAGTAGAGTAACACAGGTCAAGAATCAACCTACATACATATGACTCACCATTGAGGGCCAGCCCCTGACAAGCCCAGTCCCTAATGTTTACATTTAGCCTGTGGTTGGAAAACCACTTTAATGTTGAAATTAGGGAAGAGAAGACCTTTATCTTATGATCAATGGGTTTACAGATAATCAGGAGATCATAGTTTGCTGGGTATGATACTTCTAAATGGTGGAGTTGAGAAATGCCTTTCACTCTCCAGAAATCTCAGTTTCTAGGGAGTTGGGGAGATAATAATCAGGTACTAAGACTTTTGAGGCTAGTGTGAAACTTGGAGCAGAATTCGTTTTCTCTTTCCCTAGGATGTAACAATAAACTAGAGAGGACTCAAGGTGGACACTCACGTGTAGTCAGCTCATCTTTGTCTAACAGCTCCACATACTGAGTGGTCAAATTGAGAACAATGGCGTCTAAAGTCAATAGGAGGGAAAAAAAAGATATGTGTTTGGTAATGAGGCCATGAAAAGTAGATCAGGTTTGATTTTGTACCGGGTCAGAAGATAGATGCCCTTTAGAAGATAAGCAATTGACTTCTCCCAAGATGATGTCAGGATGACCTCTATCAGGTCTTAAATGCCATGTCTGGAAGTGGTCATAAGACTGAGAAAACTCACACAATGACCTCCCTGCACATGCCAACTGTTCTCAGAATTTCTTGGGTATATTGCGAGGAAGTGTAAGGGATACTGTCTTCAAAGTTTACAAAGTCTGATTTTTGACCCAGAGAAAAACACAACTTTAACTTTTTAACTCCATCTCCAAAGGGGCCAAGCAAATGAATGGGCCTACTCACTAAATGAAGATTAGTTTAAACAGGTGTCAAGAATTAGAATATCATCAGAATCGAAGTAACTTCAAAGACTGTTATTTTCTGCTTTTATAAATTGGTTAGATGGGATACATAGGGCATTGTCTGGAGTGACATAGAAGGGCCAAGGTCTGCTGGTCTCCCACCACCTCCTGACCCCACCAGCATGCTTTCCACTTGTATCATGTTGCTGCTGAAGCTCTTAGCATGGATTCAGCTTTGAAGACTGAATGTGGTTTATGTAAAGGGATAAGGAGAAGGGAGCTGTTGAGCAGAAGCAACAGGCTTGTAGTAAACATATAAGACTGGAAGGAGCATGCAAGACCTATTGTAGAGAATGATCTGATTGGAGGAGAGGGTGGCAGAGTCAGAAGAGGTGATGCATTTTCACTTTGGGAAAAAAAACACCACAACACAACAAAACAACAACAGGCTCCATTAAGGAAAGATGTTGCGAGATATATAATGAATTTCTGCCTTGCCTTTCTTTCATTTTGTCTCTGTCTTACTGGTGTTTGCAATGAGGGAGCTTCCCATCAAATCCAATGCACATGAGAAAGACAGGACATGGCTGAGTAAGGAATGAGGATGTGTACCTGTGAGCTTGACGACCGCACCCCTGATCACCTCCCAGCTGCTGGTGAAGAAGGTGAATGAGTGTGTGTGGAGGATCCAGAGAATGTCCTGGTATTTCTTTGCCTGGAAGAGACATGGATTTTAAAAAGGGCCGCTGAAAAGTGGACTTTTATGAAACTGAGCATCCCGTAGGGCCTGCAGAATGGAGCTCTATTAGCCAGTGGGCACTTACACAGCCATGAATTATTTTAGTCAGAATTCTTTTATGGCTTCCCCCCTCCCCTATTTAATTAATGCCCTTAATTTAAACAAGAAGGCTTTGGGGTTTAAGAGCCTGATCGTGAGTTTCAGGAATGTAGGAGAACAGTTCCTAACTCGGGACTTGGGAAAAGAGCAGAGAGTGTTATGGTGGAATATCAGGAATCATTGCTGTTCTTCTAAGACTATTGTGGCTCTGTTCAGAGATTTCCTGTTGATATTATTTGTTCTGCTGTGATTTGACTGGCCCTTGTCCTTTGTCCTTCCTCTCCTGGTGGAATCATCTATTTCACACTCACCAGTTTCACACAGAATTGCCTATAGAAATCCCTGGCCCTTGGAAACTCTTGGCCATCGAGTAGATGGTCTAATACTCCATAGATTTCCTGGAGACCCAGAAAAGGAATGCAGGTGATCAAGACATCACGGCAAGCCTGGAAAACAGAAATTTCAGTGTCACTGTCAGCCAACCTAGGATATACAGAAGGGAAAAGAAGATGCTGAAAACAGGTGTCTTTAAAGTCAGTAGTTGAAAGGATCCTTGTAACCAAACATTCATGGCACTATCTCAGACTCAAGAATGGCAGAGCAAGCCCAAAAAATACCGCATGAAAGGATCTACAGTTAGAGAAGTGGTTTTCTGGTTCAATTCAGAGTAGGTAATTAAATTATTATTATTATTATTTTGTAATTAAACACTGGCCTCTCAGTTACAGCTTGACCAGACTTGCTAGGACTTCTCAGTTATAAAGGAGAGGAGGTGAGACAGAGAGGCAGGTACATGTGCTGGGTTACTTACACTTGCAATTTTGGGGTTGGGATCCCAGAGGTGGAGAAGGAATGAAATCATGCTCTTTTTAATCTCTTCAGCAAAAAACACCTTCCACCTTCTTCCACTTAGTGATGCCATGTTCTCAAACAAGCAGAAGGCAGTCAGCCTCACATCGTCCTGCTCCTGTGCCAACAAACGCATCCCATGACTGAAGGTCCCCCCACTGGTTACCCTCTGCCCACCTGTCCTCCTTTCTGCCTCTCTTCAGCAAAATGAGCTTGGAACTGTGCATTTTTATTATCTCTTGTCACTGATTGTCTCAAATGACACTGTCTTTTCCAGAAATTCTCTCCTCACAGTCCTCTGAGTTTGAATAGCTATGGACATGGGGTTAAGTGGTAAGGTAGAGGTGGAGACTGGATTATGCCTTTGAGTAGTTAGTAAAGAAGCGTGACCCCAAGAATAATAAAGATAAGATGATGGCAGCAGCAAGCCAGGGAGGGTTCCTGCTTATGTAATGTTTTATGCTAAATAGCCAGGTTGCATCACTGGCCTTGAGTTATGTAGTCTTTACAGTGCTACTACTTGTCTCCTAGTTTATTCTGTGGTGGTAGTTCATATGTTATTATTACCCTGGAGACCAGGTTATGGATATTTCAGATACCAGCAGAGTTACCCTTGATGGACAGGTGTGGTGAAGTAAATGAATTACTCAGAATGGCTTTTGTAGCAGTTTGGCTTTGCTTTTCAGTACATGGCTGCGTGCCACTATGCTAATGATGAAAATGGAGAGAATAGCACCTTTTGGGTGGGAACATGCAAACAAGGTGTTTTGATCAGTTTTCCCATTCTTCTGGGCTTAATTTGAGCATGTTTATCTGCAGATGAGGGGAATCTCACTACCAGCATGAAAGAAGAACTGGAGAGTTTAGCGCATGTTCATTTGTAACAGAAATTCTTGCAAAAGTCAGAGTGGAACCTAGATGAGAGAAATAGAAGTAGTAGTAACAGCAGCAGCAGTAGCAGCAGCATAGAACCAGAGGCCAGTGTGAGACAGAACTGAATGGAAACTGCTGCCGCACAGAGCCAGAGCTGATGACCTTTCCCCAAGCTTAGTGAAGGACTAGGGAAAAGGGAAGGGAGACTCCATAATCGGCAGGACAAAAAGAACTGGGTAACACTGACCCACAGCCTAATACTGAAGGTCAAAGGGCCTGTAAGCATGCTTAAGAAGCTGTCTAAACAGAAGAATTGTGTCTTGTTTTCTGCCTCAATTGTAATTTCTTGTTTTCCTTAATAAACCCCATAATTGTGAGTATGGTCTATGACGTTTCTTGTTGTGGTTTTTTTTTTTAAATTCTATTTTATAGTGGTTTACTTACAAAATTTGTATACACTGTTTTTCACATCAGATCTTTTCCATTTCCTTAACCCATCCCTCCCTCCACCCATCAAATTGTGTAACTCTATGATTATGCCACCCACTCATCCTCCACTCTGTGTTTCTCCCCTCCCTTTCTTAGATCCTCATACACATTTTACTAATAGCCTATTTCTAAAATAATGGTCTTCCACAGTATTTGTCCTTATAGGACTGAGTTAGTTCACTTAGCATAATACTCTCCAGTTCCTCCCAAGTTAGGTAGTGATTTACAAAATCATTGTTCCTGCATGCTGCATAGTGGTCTATGAGTTTTAGTGTGGCCATTGCAACAGATTGGCAGGCTAAAGATAGAGCAATAAGAACCGAGGAAAAGATAGTGTTAGAACAGAACTAGGAAGTAGGTGTGGGGAGCATGGAGGCATAAGTGACCTAAAGGGATTGGTTTTATGTTCTGGATGCTGTTGATGGGAACTATTCCCCTTGTGGAGTTAGCAGAGACCAGACTTGGCAGCTTCGGTACTGGCCACATTGTTTTTTACAATAGATTTAAATTGAGTTTCCAGATTAACAAAGATCAGTCAGAAGGCTTATGGAGTCTTACTTCATAAAACCCAATTATCTTATGGCTCAGAAAGTCTAACAACAAGAGCAATGACAACAAAAACTGTCTAAAGGACAGCTGGAAGATAAGACCATAGGTTGGAAGGCACTCAAAACACACAGTGGCAGCAATAATGGGCTTGAGCATACTAATGATTATGAGGATAAAGGATTGCATGAGTCAGAGTCGACCTGACAACTGATAACAACAACCACAAATCAAAATTGTCCAAGCACTAGGACTTCGCCAAGATCCCAAATACTTTCTAAAGGACTTTCAGGAAACTCAAGAATTTAGACCTTGGGTCAGAATGTGGTTAATCAAACAAATGTCTTGCCCTAATCTTTAGTATGAAAGATTACAATATTTTTTGGCTTGCTCTCCAGAATGACTGACCATGATTTTAAGAACCAAAGGGTAAGATGACCTTCTATTCAGATATTTTGCTGTTATGATTTAGAGTTGCAACCAAGAAGGAAAATGAAGTTAAGTAAATTTTCTGGAAGTCTGCCTCTCTCCATGCCTAGAAAATATCGGTAAGAAGGTGAAATGATAAAGTAGTACCAAATAGCAAATCACAGTTTAGACAGGCAATGAACAAAGGCCAAGAAAAAGCACTCCCATAAACTAATACAAGGAGTTGCAGGGAAATAACAGAAGAATAACTTTTCATGGCAAAATGAAGCACACAGGACTCAAAGTCATTTCTGAAGATTCAGCACCGACTCACAGCTGAGCTGACTCTCCCCTGAGTTTCTGAGGCTGTAAAGCACATTGTGGGGCGGGGGGGAGGTAGATTGCTCATTTTTCTCCTGAGGAGCCCCTGGTGAATTTAAATGAACAGAGAAGCAGAGCCTTTGGGCTAGGAATGCAACTCCCTGTGGGTTAGGCCACCAGAGCTCCCAAAGTGTAAGAGAGAGGCACATAAATAAAAATTCTGTGAAAGAGGAGATGGCTACAGATCTTCCAGTATAAATACCGATAGCTTGTAGGAAAATGTCAGGCATGTGAAATGAATAAATGAAATGTGACCTGTTATAAGGAGAACAGAAATTGAAACAGATTCTTTAAATATAATTAGAATAAAATCAAAACACATTTTTGAAAGCTCTTTTTACAAAGAGAAAGAAAACCAATAGTAAAATACTAAGACGTTAGAAAGACCACTCAGTTATTATGATTTTTTAAGGCACTTACTTAAAAATTCTTTAAAGTAGATTCAGAACACATCAACCAATTGACATTGTGAGAAAGCAGAAAGAGGCACTTCAAATGTCTAAAATTATTAAAGATTAATAAAAATGACATAAAAGCCCTGGATATTATAAAACTATTTGCATAATCAGGGAAAAGAAATGGGGATAAATTATTATAGACTGTAGTTAAATATATTTGCAGAAAGACAGAAATAAAGAATAAAAACATGCCATTACTGAAGCCTGAGATTTGTCAAACTTCTATGTAAACATGATGGGCTTGTTATCTATAAGGAATGATAAACATTTATTCTAACAACCAGGAAGACTTTAGTTGGGGTTTGTTTTTTTTTCTCCCCCTGCAGTAACATTGAGAAACATTATCTTGTACACAGTATTATTATTAGGTAAACATATGATTTACTGGAATGTCAGTTCCAAACCATCATTTCTCTGTCAGTTCATTGTATTGTGATGGTTTGCTAGTTACTGTGCTGCTGAAAGCTATGCATGAGTTGCTTAAATACTAGTAGGACCACTTAAGGTAGACAAGTTTCAATGGAGCTTCCAGACCAAGACAAACTAAGGAGCAGGACTGGCTATCTAACTTCTGAAATAACAAGTCCTCAGAAACCCTATGAGTATCAGTGGAACATCGTCTAATACAGCATCAGGAGATGAGCCCCTCAGCTTCAAAGACACTCAAAATGCGACTGGGGAAGAGCTGCCTCCTCAAATGAGAGTCTACCTTTATGACATGGATGTAGTAAAGCTTCCCCCCAGTGAAGGGCCTTCATTTGCTTTTGCGACAAGCCTCAAAATGAGAGACACCTGAAAACATGTACTCAAAACTGGAACGAGTAATACAAGACATGTGAATCTAGAAAATTGGAACTTGTGAAAAATGAAATGGAATATGTAAACATCAATAGCCTAGGCATTATTGAGATGGATTGGTATTGGCAATTTTGAATCAGGCAATTATATGATCTCTTTGCTGACAGTGACAAACTCAGGTGGAATGGTGTCACATTCGTTATCAAAAAGAACATTTCAGGGAGCTCTGGTGGCCTAGTGGCAAGATGCTGCACTGCAATCCCAAAGGTATGAGGTTCAAATCCACCAGATGCTCTGCTGGAGAAGGAGGGGCAATCTCTTCCTGTACCAGGCAAATCCAATTTGATGGTACACACACAAAAAATAAGGAAATAAAATTAAAAAAAAGAACATTTCAAGATCTATTCTGAAGAAAAGTGCTGGAAGGGATAGGATAATACCTCTACATATAGAAGACGGAGCTGTTAATATAACATTTATTTAAATATCATCGATCAGTAAAGTCAAACATGAAGAAATTAAGGGTTTCTATGGATTTATTTTTTTTTATTTTATTATTTTTGTGTGAGTGTACCGTCAAATCAGATGTGACTGGTACAGGAGGAGATTGTCCCTCCTTCCCTGGGAAAGCATCTGGTGGATTTGAACCGTGGGCCTCTGGGATTGTAGTTGCAGCTTCTTGCCACTAGGCCACCAGAGCTCCTCTATGGATTTCTGAAGTCTGAAATGGATACAACATGCAATCAAGTTGCATTAATAATGATATCTAGAATGTAAAAGTGAGAAACAAATAAGAGCTGGTAGTTGGAAAACATAGTCATAGTGACATAATTGAAGCTGAGGATTGCACGCTAGAATTCTGTACAATTTAGCAAATGATGGGCTTAATAATTGCATTTATTGAAAAAGCCTTTTCTGAAAAACCTAAATGGCAACTATGCACATGGATGTCACGTGAATGAAATAGATGGACTGTATCTGTGCAAAGAAGTGGTCAAGGCCACGGACTGACTGTGGAATAAGCCATCAATTACTGATGACCAAATCCAAACTGAAGCTGAAGAGAGTGAAAACAAGCTCATGAGAACCAAAATAGGACTTTGAGTTGACCCTAATTGAATTTGAAACCTATCTCAAGAATAGATTGATACTCTGAACTCTAATG